GTAGAACACTTTTTTTGCCATAGAAGTTACTATGGATTGTCAAAATATGCACTATAGTACAAAAACTACTAGGCATGGAGTTATCATCAGCACCGGATGGAGTGTGTAAGATCATGGACCTACTCTGATGCACACATAGTAAGCCAGTATCACAGAAGCTGTCATGGGCCAAGTGTACTATGTTTCTCAATGACTGTAAGCTGAAAACGATTTATACACTCTAAGCCCCTCAAAGCAGGCGATGTGATGTTGCTCTTCGCATCTGAACAGTGTCATATACATATCACAACTGTTGCCAAACAAGAGGTTGATTCAAGCAGCCGCTTCCATCAAACAGATGATACAAGCTCGTTTAATATTCCCGGGACTGCGTTAAAGCTACCTTATTATTATCCAAGGCACCCACACGAGTATTTTTCCAGTTGAACTCATGCAAACAAATTTGACGGAGGTGCCAGAGTACACCCGGTTTAGGGTGAAACGAGGTCATTTATCTTACAAGTGGGTGCTTCGTTTACCAAATTGAAATATACTGGATGAAAAGAGTATTGTACGCAGCCAAAGCCCCAACTAACAATAATGGGAAATACCGGATCTTACTTAGTGCATTACGCAGGACATAATTAAATGATGTCGGGGACAGAAACATAATTTTTACCATATGACAAGACAAAGACCGCCTAAAAGCACTTGATTGCTTAATGTATGTGACTAATGTCTAAAGATAGCTGACAATCTCCCAATCATGCATAGTGCACACCACGTACGTCATTTTAAAAAATAAATTGGCAAATGCTCTGTGTAACACAGCCATGCGCCCCAAGAAGAGAATATAGATGATGGCAGTGAAATTTACGCGGCTATAGTCAAAAAGGGAAGCGGTCATAAATTACTCGAGGAGTTGATCTAACACTGGGCATCTGTAAGTTTTACTATGGCTAATTCAACCGTGCATGTGTCTAAGATACAAATGCAGGTAACATTTTGCTACTTTATAGACCAACATATCAGTAATGTCCTTAATTATAGAAAATGTACAATTTCCTTGTGGGAGTGCACAACTGAGTCGTTATATTAAATAAATAACTGTAATGTACCTTAAAACTACACTTTGTAATCACAAAATCGAACTGTATATGCTACATCCATTGTGCCTGGTCATGCCTTTTGTCGTGCCATCCCTGGCAAAGACCAAATTACAAAAATGTGTACACTGCCTGAGTTCAATGAAATCTGTCGCATTCTCTTGTTGGTCAATTCAATTAAACATATTAAATATGTTCGCGAGCGAATTAACCTTACGCACAACAGAAGAGGAACCTATACCGAGGGCTGCGACGGTCAATAGTTCATTCTTAATAAAAGTATCGGAAGGAGGTATGATCGAACTAAATCACACCTTGGGTTTTTCCTAATCAAGCTACGAATTTCACTGATACTTTCTCCTCCTTCTTGAACTTTACGTGAAGGCCGTTTTATCCCCATCGTTTTTCAAAAATTCCATTAATTTGCTACAACACTGCGTTATTGGCTTATTTGAAAGTATCATGGAGAAGATATAATTACTATCAGGTGTCATACATAGTCGTATATTAATATAATAGTTTTGCCTTTAATATCTTTTTTATTTATCAGAGCAAGTCTTTGCTGAGAACACGTTAATGTCTTTGCGGATTTGAATGTACCGTACTACTGATGTGTTTAATCGTAAACAATAATTGTAAAGGATTAACTAAATATGTCAGCGAGTTAAGGCCGTTGCGCTTGCTGACAAAGATTACTACTCTAGTGGTGGCACGGCTGATAGTGGTATATTTATTTTGTAAAGTGCAAATTTTTATTTGTGTCGCATCAAAACGATGGGATGTAACGTGTATGTCCTGCTTGGACTGCTTTTAAATGTTTGCAAACTCACATTCTGTTTTATTTCTATAATGCACAGTACAAGCGAGGATTGAGAGCGTACAGAATTTATTGTAGGAGGAGGTTTCAAAAAATGCACGCCAGAAAAACAGTGGATGCAACTACGAACTCGAACATATTGTTGGACCGTGACAGGTAGGGTGGTGTTTAGTAAAAACTACTTAACTATCAACTTAGCCAAAAGATGTATTAGGATAATGCACGCTTTCTAAACTGATATTAAAATGTAAATATACCCACGAGCATTCATCCTTCAAGATGAGAACGATCGCTTTTGTCAATGAAACGAATTTTCTTGTGTAAAATCTATACTCCTGTAGAAGTAAGAGCGTACTTCCGTAAAATGTATAAATCGTTTTGTATTGTGACCTAACCTGCAGTACGAGTACATGTATTCCTCTTTTTGTTGCATGATTCTCAATTGCCACATTCGCCTCTAATAAATTTCATATGTAAAATAAGTGGAGCCTGCCGCCGTCTTCTCAACAATTATTTGCAAAGATAGAGTTTAAAGCGCTATCATCGCAAACGAAAAGAGTGATTTTACACATTATAAGAAACCTAATCATGCCGTTTAAGATCAAACTAAGGGAAGAAACAGATTAATAAGGGAATGTTAACGTTTTCCGTTTCACTTTTATCATCTTCTCCTTGAACCGCTTCTCTTCTCTTATAATTTTCTTCTAACCTCATACGGCCCTTATTGATCATACGGGTTAAACCACCATCATGCTTGGTTAAATTTCAAATGTGTTTCTGCCTTACACAGTGCTGAACTATTTGATTAAAATGGTATTGACCTCACTTCTTCAAACCAATCGGGAATATAGGAAGTGTCAAATGAGAGAAAGTTTTTATCTTCGAGTGACACCTCATGCACACATGTGTGTATGGTATTACGTTTAAATTTTGCGGGCACAGCACCGTGTCGCCCAATGAAAAATAAATAGTGGACTCGATATAATTTTTTAGTGATACAGCATGAGTACTTGTTACATTGTTCAGTCGATGGAATTTTCGGATGAAAGATGAAATGATCTAGACCAGTACTATGGCTGGGACCAAGATCACAAACTGTTTTGAGCACGATACAAATGATACAAATATCTAGAAGTGGATTTACATGAACTATTAGACGTGCCAAGAAGTAAATAGTGATGAATAAAAGCATCAACAAAACTAAACTATGTATAAGCTGCTAATCAAGATCCCCTAAAAGTTTTTTTTTACTATCGTGAACAACAAAACGCAGTCCGTACAGGTCAAAGTTATCTGTAAGACTTTAGACATGCGCTGAAACGGATGCGTGGTTGGCAGCTTTTTTTAGCGGTATGACATTTGATTCATCATCGGGTGAATTCTCATGAACGCTTGGGGCCTGCATTTTAATACGAAGAGGAGTAATCAGTGCAAAACCTACCTAATCTAGATTCTTCTTTTGAGCGCATTTTTAATTCAGCGAGTATCAAACATTCTATATCTATTTTAATGTGCCCGCTCAGTAGTAGAAAAAGCGCTTCGCTCGTGTCAACTGGTGCACTAATTCTGCAAAAAAAAAATTTGCGTATTGGCAATTTTCCAACCAAGCTGGAAATACTATTTTTTGTGGTGGTTGCTATCTTTGTTAATCCAGTAATTTAGTAAAACGCACATTTACCCTAAGAAAAAAACAAGAAAATTCGGCGAAAATACATCTGCGATCGTACCTCCATCGATTTACTGGGGAAAGTATCGTAAAAGCTACAGAAAAGTTTTTAAATAGATGGAAAATATGTATTTAATCTTTCGTACTAAATTGCGGTGGCTTTCCTCTTTTGTTTGATGATAAGACCGTAAATCACTCACTGTTACATGGTAATAAATCACAGAGGGGTACCTAAACGCCGCGTATGGTCCTTATCTCCTTTTATGCACCCATGGGATGGCAGGTCGCACTCCCCGGGAGACTATGCTAGGATTCACCTGTCATACTTGAAATAGGTCGACATGCGGGGCCCCGAGCTGATATTCTCCACTCGATTGGACAGTTAGTGGTCATTAAATTGACTTGGTCGAGATAGGGATACCTCGTCAGGGAGCTTTTCTCCCTGTCCTCTCCTTCTTTATCTCAGGCATGTTACTTATCTGACCTTAACGTTGCTCTCAAGTCACAAGGTGGGGGAGACTGCTTCCGATAGCGTTTTCGGGTGTGTATGCTACTCGAGACTGGCCTTCAGTATGGTACTTCCTGGGGTTCTATTAGATTGCAATTTTCTTCAAAGGGGAGCAAAATTGACACCCTTCCGGGAACAGTCAGGTTGACTTATCAAGTTCCTTAACGCACGATGAAGTCAATCCATGTGGATTGAAAATTGAATAGTATTTAGTATCATCAATTCCTTCATCTCCTCCACTCTATCCTCGTCTATGCCCTGATTCCTTATTTTTACTGGTCAGAAGCAGCTATATCTTAAGGGGCTAGAAGCCCAATAAATGAAGTTTTTCTACTCTTTGGGGCCGGATCCACGAATGAGACTTGTAGTCATTTTCCGTCGGAACAAATCAATTGGTACTCGAGCAACGACTTTCTCCTTAATTAGCTCTGAGGAAACAATTTTCCTAAAAAGTATAACGAATATCGTTGCTTTACACCTAGGCGCTCTTTCCTTTGAAAGTAACCGCTTTATCTTCGTCCTGATAGCTTTTGGGTCCATAATCTATTTTAAGCGCACTTCGCTACATCCGGCTTCTGCCCATGTCCATTCGATAGTGTTTTAAGCAAGTACATGTCTTCACCTCCCATAGAGTTTAATGCTTGATCTTTGTTAGTAGTTTCTTTCTGATTGTAGTCGCTCTAGCCATGTTTCGCCCGAATTGCACTTTCCCCCACCTAAGAAATACTTCGGTAGGCTACCGCTAGTGGCTGATCTGCCAGTCCTGCACGTGGCCACGCCCTAGTCGGTTCCAATATCGACCACGGATACGCATGTGGTCGATCTGGATGCATCTGTCGGCTCTACGTCGGCGATCACGACCGTCGACTCCTCTGCCACGTCGGCCGGGCCTGTAGGCAGCTTATTCGCTTCCACTCCTCCTGCCTATTTGACCGTCGTTTCATCTGCTACATTGGCCTCGTCAGTAGGCAACACGATCGCTATCACTCCGTCGACCGCCACAACCGTCAGCGCATCTGCCACGTTGTCCGCGTCTGAGGGTGACCCGGTCACTTCTCCGCAGTCGACCGCCACTACTGTCAGCTCATCTGCCAAAATTCGCCAAATTGGTGAGCCTTCGGTTTGCCCTTGCCACGTCGGCTGCCAAGTGTGTGTTGAATCATCCGCCGTGTAGCCTGGTAGATGGGAAACCCGATTGCTTCCGCTATGTCGGCCGCCAAAACTGGCAACTCACTATCCACTTTAGCCGCGTCAACAAGCAGCTTGGTGGATCCCATTTCATCGGTGACCGTGACCATAGACCCATTTGCTACGCAATCAGACCTTCGCTCCGTGTTCTAAACTTTGGTCAATCTTCAGGCGGCCGTGAAAGCCCACTAGCGCCGCATGGAGGGATGTTGTAACGGGGCACCCTGAAGCTTGTACTGATGACAGTACAAGCTACTTATTCTGATGACAGAATAAGGCGGTGCCTCGTAACTTCACGTACAATGGTACGTGCAGAGGAAGACGGTAAGAAGAAGCGAGTACTTGGTTAAAGTAAAAAGTAGAACTGTTTTTATTATAGTTAATGTCTGTAATAAACCCCCTGTTTATCCTCATCTAACTATGTTTGAACGTAAATGTGCATATCAACTATCTGCTCACCACTCATTGCGTGCGTCTGTCGTGTCGCGTCTTCGTTGATTGATATAATGGCCTATATCAACCAATTAGGAACTACTCGTAAGTGCTGTATTTGTCCTTATGACAATATTCTGAGAATATAACTCTTATAGTTATATTCTATTAACAATTTCTTATAAATTGTTATGTAACGATTCACCCCGTTACATCACTCCCCCCCTTAACCATCAGTCACTTTAGTGACTGATTGACCAAATGGATACTCGTCCCAAATCATTTGGGACAGGGTTTGCACTTGTTGGTCCGAGTCCACTTTCCAACAATTCATCGCATGGTTAACAAGCCCATGCGATGCGCGAGCAAGGCTGCCGAGAGCGCGTCCGCACGTCTCTGTGCGGACGCCGAAGCAGAAACCACAGCAACTGATGTCTCATCGGTTGCTGAAGCGACTCAGCCTGTGTCACCTGGTGATTCAGGCGCTCGTCATGAAGACACTCATGTATTCACAGAGTATGAGCTCGGTGTCTCATACTCTCCTGATACGGAAGACGGATCCGTATCGACGGCGGTTGAATCCAAGCCGCCTGCCAAACGTGGCATGGACGATGCTTTGCGTCGCAGCATATTTGGTTCATCTGATGAATCAGATAGACCATCGCCGAAGCGAAGGCGCTCGAGGTCGCGAGACTCGGGCGCTAATAGTGGTGTCGGTTCTACTATTGACACCACTTCGCAACGAGGTGCCAGTACTTCTGTCGGCACGTCGCAAGAAGAGCGGGACCGCAATGTGTTGCGTCTCGCTCCCGAGAAGAAGGCATGGATGCCTCCAAAATATGTCATGGATCACTTGTCGGCGACGACGAGTGATCGTTATCGAACACGGTTTTTCGATTCGTCAAGGATCCATCACCTTGACCCCAGCGCGTAAAAATATCGCGCTAAGAATGAATTCTTCATCGATGCTTTCTTTAGACATCGATGGTACAGTGGGAATCACAAACGTGATGGTCCCTCAATGCTTCAAGCGTGGAACGCCTACATCCATAACCTTGAGGATGTAGGTCGTGACGCTTGAAACGACAAACTTATCAAAGCTCGTGATAAGTTTGAAAAGCGAACCCCGACAGGTGCACGCTACAAGCTGCATCGTCTGTCAAGGGAGAAAGGATCACCCTGCCTCTCTTGGGGATACTCGTGCCCATGTTGTGTGAACAACTCAGCACGAGCACCTAAGGAGGCTTACCTCCCTAATAGCCCGTGGTGGCGCGTACGTATCTCTACTGAGATGTACGAAGGGATTGACAACCTGAAATCCCTTTACGACCGTGCAGGGAAGACTTTCTCCGGCAGTCCTTCTGCGACATAGGATGTGGCGCGTCGTACTGCTCAACCAGACCCAGTACGTCAATCATCAGTTGGGAGCGGGGCTCCCAAGAATCCCAGGACGGGGGATAGCCGCGCCACCGGACGAGATAACTCGTCCGACGTCCGTTCACGTCGCGGTGGTTCAACAGCTGCTCAACTAGATAGCGCTGGTGACCGCGAGAGTCCTCTAATGGAGGTGGAGGAGGAGGTAAGACGCTCTCCACACAATCGTGGGGATCCGTGTGTTCCCGAGAGCTTCTTTGATCGCGTAACGCAAGGGTTACGCAGCGATCTCGAACATGAGCGGGACAGGCGTCTTCAACTGGCGGACGCTGTCTTGAAGCATCGAGCTGAGTTTGCCTTCGCTCAGCTTGAGAACGAGAGATCTCTGACATCTCTTCGTGACGAGCTAAGGGTAGCTCGTGGGATTGTTGATCGGTCTCGGGATGAGATAACTGCTCTTCAGACCCTTGTCGATGCCCACCATCGGGAGCACAAGGCTCTCTGCGAGATGCTTGAGCGCAAGGGCGTTCTTCATCGGAAGAAGCAGCGTACTGATGGTACGGCTTAAGCCGACCAACGTAAAACGTGGGATGCGTTCGCATCTTACGTGGCAACTCGATCGTGTATGCATTGCCTAGGCGGTGCAACACACAAAATGGGCCGATGTACTTGGGTAGTAGTTTACTGCTACCCAAGTTAGTCACTACATGCTTTGGTAGATTAACCGTAGACAGTAGGACTAAGTCACCTTTATTAAATAAAAGAGTGTTTGCCCTTCCATTCTTGTCAGCGTTTTGCTTTTGCTTATCCACCGCTTCGGCGATGGAGTCTTGCACAAAACGGACTACCTTTTCACGAGCCAGTATGAACTCATCTGATGACTCGTTAGCTTTAGTGCGCTGTGAGTGCACTGCAGCAACATCAACCTTTTCTTCAGTGAGGGCTTCCGCGCTCTCACTGGCATCATCTTCTTCGATATCGATGTTATCGATATCGGCATCAAACGCAATGACCTCTTCGTCAGAGCGTGATGAGCGTGAACCAAATCGGTTTTTGCTCGCGCGAGTCTCTCCCCCCTTAAACCAGAGTTACACTCTAGTAAGGTGGGTACACGCGGATGGCGTAAGCCATTCACGTAAAACGGTGTATGTGTCGTGGACGCATGCACCGAGTTGTTCATGGCAAACTCTACCAGTGGCAAAAACTCACTCCAACTCTTAAAGGAGTGTACGTATCCTCGAAGTATCTCTTCAAGGACACGATTGGCACGTTCCGTCTGGCCATCTGACTCTCGATGGTCAGATGTCGACATCTTTAAGCGCGTTCTGAGTGATTTGAACACGGAACGCCAGAAATCAGCAGTGAATCGTGGATCTCTGTCTGATACGAGTTCACGGGGCAACCCATGAAGTCGGAAGATGGTGTCGATAAAGACACAAGCACATCCACTTGCCGTGATTGACTCTCGTACAGCCACTAGGTGTACCATTTTGCTGAATCTGTCAACAAATACGAGAATACCCGTATTCCCGCGTGCGTCTTTGGGTAACCCAAAGACGAAATCCATTGAGATGGATTCCCAGCACTCAGCCGGAACCGGTAGAGGCTGTAAAGGTGCACGCAGTGAAGGACTTGACTTCACTCGTTGACAGACTTCGCATGCGCGAACATACTTTCCCACAAACTGATACTGGCGGGGCCAGTAAAAGTCTCGACTCACCGTGAGATACGTTTTCTCCCAGTCACGATGTCCTCCTATAGGAGCATCGTGATACTCGAACATGATCCGCAAACGCAGATCAGTATCATCTGGAATGACAACACGTGATGTGTCACCAGTAACGGCTGTATAATACATTAACCCGTTGCGAGTAGTGTATCGATCTGATGCAGATGGATCCGCAGACTACAATCGTTTCAACGATTCTCGAGATGGTTGTGAGAGATGTGTCAACAACTTCACAATCTCACCATCTTGGGCGTATGCCCGCCTCACATCATCATGCAACGATGAAGATGGTACTGAGGACGTCATAACCGCAACAGTGACGGTCTCACTGTTGGGTTTCACGACTGGTTCAAAGTCGGGACGACGTGAGAGTGCATCAGCGACGACATTGAGTCGTCCTGGTTTGTACTCGACCGTAAACTTGTATTCTGCAAAGAATGACAACCACCGCGCCATTCGTTGTGAAAGGTTCGGGCTGTTCACTGCCGTGCGTAATGACGCATGGTCAGTGTAAACAGTGAGGGTCTATCTCCTAATAGATAGACTCTGAACTTCGCGAGTGTATACTTCATGGCAAGGAGTACCTTGTCATGCACTGGATAGTTCCGCTCAGCTGGTTGCAGCTGACGCGACTGATAGCATACGACGCGTTCAACGCCTTCAAGATCGTACTGCATTAATGCCCAGCCGATTGCGAAATCGCTGGCATCGCAGACCACATGAAATGGCCTGTCCTGATCGGCTATTGCTAGGACTGGGGATTGTATCAAGCTCTGCTTAATACCATCAAAGGAGCGCTGACATTCAGCGTTCCATAACCACCTCTCGTTCTTTTTCAACAAACGAGAGAGGTGCACAGTCATCTCGGCGTAATTGCGTGAATACTTATGCAAATACGCCGCTAGCCCAAGGAATTTTCGAAGACCTTTGACATCAACCGGCACAGGCCAGTCGGTGATCGCCTTGATCTTTTCGGGATCAGGACGTACACCGTTATTACCAACGATGCACTCAAGAAGTGGTATTTCGCTTGCTGCAAATATACACTTCTTGAGGTTTGCATACAATTGATGCTTTCGCATGATTGTAAGAACCTGTCGGACATGGTACCTGTGAACCTCAATGTCCGACTTTCCATCCATAGCTCGACTATGGATGAATACGTCATCGAAATAACTCGGCGCGAATTCTCGTACTGGTCTCAACAGATGTGATACACATCTGTTGAACGTGGCAGGGGCATTACTAAGCCCTTGTGGCATTACTAGCCATTCCCAGAGCATGCCGCTAGGCGTGCTAACTGCGGTATAGGGTATATCCCGTTCTCGCATAAGGATTTGATAGGAGCCATCCATCAAATCCATGGACGAAAAGATGGTACTCTTTGACATACCATCAATGATTACGTCCTTCCTCGGTATCGGCGTCTGAGCCGGTACCGTTGCAGCATTTAACTTGTTAAATGCATGCACTATCCGCCACCCTCCTGTTGCTTTTCGCACACAGAAGGTCGGAGAGCTATGTGGGGAAGTTGATTCCCTCACATGGCCCGCAGCTAAACGATCGGCAAAGAACTTGTCGATCGCAAGTACTTGTTCACGAGGCAGTGGCCACTGCTTCATGACACAGTACTTCGAGCCTGGTTTAAGCTCGACCTCGTGTCGAATACCTTTATCCTTCGGTAATTTGCACGGAACAGTTTCAGGGAATACATCCTTGAATTCAACCAAATCTTCATAGAGAGGATTTTTCTTGAGCGATTCCCACGATTGGGAGTCATATCGCTCAACTCGTGTCTTTTCATCTAGGACACTCTCGTCCATAGATGAACTACTAAGAACTCTCTCGTTCTCAGTAAACACTGTTGCTGAACTTATGTCGGTTACACACTCGTCGTCAGCGACGAGTACGCAGATCTGCTTGACTTTGCCACTACGCAGATCACGCAAGAACCTTTTATGTTCGAGCGTTGGCAACTGAGTGATCTCCGAAGTTAACTTCGGAGGCGCAATCAGAACATTGTATAAGCGCCTACACTTGATCCGTTATTGACTATGACATTCAATGTCTCTGTCATTTTCTGGGGACTTATTCCCTCAGGCCTCGAAGGACTTATTCCTTCGGCTTCCCGGGGACTTATTCCCGCGGGTTTCGGGGAACTTATTTCCGCCGTATTTGTAATCTTGGGACTTATTCCCTTTACTTCCTCTAGCTGGGGTTGCGCAACCACAGCGAGATCCTCTACGAAAGACTCTCCAGTCGATCTAGGATAATCGTTTCGCTTAACCTGAGCGATCGATTGTTTCTCTTCTAGATGTTCCCCGCTAGGGATACATCTTTGTCCTGGTCCACTCGACGTATTCGAGTGGTGGACCTTCGGCGCAGCCTGTGTTTCCTTACAGCTGCCGGAACTTTGCTCCGAAGTGTAACCGTTTATTACACTAAGGTTTTGTGCAGTCGTACTAACGACCGTACCACAAGTGAGGCCATCGCACTCACTCGTAGTACATCCACACGCTTGTGGACGCTCCAAAACGTTCATCAGATGGCCATCTGATGAACAAGCGGCAGGCATCGTTACTGTTCGATGTTACCAGTTTACCCGTGGTTCGTACCTTCTGAGCCACGGTATTCCAAGGACGACATCAAATTTGTCATCCAAATCAAATACGATAAAGTAATCGTCATTTTGGGTATCTTCTAGCGTATAGTGGATCTTCACTATACGCTTCATGACGGTTACGGATGCGCCTGTCGCAAGACGTACCGTCATCCTCGTAGGAGGTGTGTCACATTCAACCAACTTGAAGTGACCATCTTCTAGTGATTGGCGTCGCACAAAATTGTTGGACGCCCCACAATCGACTAGACCTCGAAGGGACAACTTATTCGTCACTTCGAGTTTCAAGGTAAAGAGTAAGACCTCATTACCTAGAGCAGCAACGCACAACGTTTGTGTGTTGGGAGCAACCTTCATCAAGAGGCCTATAAATTTTCTTGACGTTGCTGGACCAGTAGGGTGCTCCGCACCTACTGATCCTGTCCGTTTTTTGACGGTCCATCCCGTTGTTGCGTATTTGCACCAACAGCGGACCCGCGTCCCTGCCCCTTTCTCATGGGTGGACGGTCACTACGCCCAGTGTTGCGAGACACTGGACGAGGGGCACTACACTCGTAAGCGTAGTGTCCTGGCTTTTGACATCTGTTGCATTTCTGCAACTTCTTGTAGTCTGTAGAGCGAGCCTTCTTGCTCTCAACATAACAGAGTTTCATCGACTCTGGACCTACGCTGTCATATCGTCTCGGTTGACGATATGATGTCGAGCTGGCGCGAGCCTGTCTCAGACTGAAGTCTTCCTGCTCCGCAATGGAAATGGCTTGTTCTAGTGAATCTAGTTCAAGTTGGAACAGGTGAGTCTTGACGGGACCATCCGCAAGACCCTGCATGAACACCGAAACCAACGTGTGTTCATCAACCGGGTTGGAACTTATACAACTCGTGAGATGTCGTATATGTTGCGCTTGAGCGTGCACATAACGCTTACCTTGTTTGAGCTTCAAGAGTTCAGTTCGAGCTCTGAACTCAGCTCTAGGCGGTTCAAACGTTTTTCTGAGCCGCGACTTGAAGACTTCCAACGACCCAAACGCATATGGGTCGTGCAACTTGAGCCCCAAAGCCCAAGTCTTGGCACGTCCTGCCAGATTTGATTGGGCAAATGCAACTTGCATATCCCCGTCGTCGATGCGACGCGTCCTTATGGCGTCATCCAATTCGACGAACCATCTCAAGAGGGAGTCCTCTTCGACTCCCCTATACTTGGAGATGTCAATCTTCAAGG